ATATTGCCATGAAATATTTAAATATCACTCGCAAAGAAATATATTTAACTTACCCCGATTCTAACCCTTATTCCATAAATAATCACAAATTGTAGCTTCGACCGGTTCAATTCCGCTTGGAATAACCACTTTTTCAACCTACATTTTTGCATACAAATTTTTGTCACAACAACATGATAAAAATCAAATTAAGTTTTCTTTTATTCAACTTACCTTCTGCTTCTTCTTCTGGGGTGCAGGACATTTCGAATCCAAATCTGCATCTATAACACTCTCTGGTGTATAGATGTTAGTGACATCCTTTCTCCCCATTTCCTCCATCTTTTGTACTTCTTCCATATTCTCTTCTTCAAAAAATTTCAGTTCATCATGTTTTTGCTCTACATAGCTCTTCATCTCTTTTATTTCACCCTTTATTTTTTCCCCTTCATCCAAGTTTTTCTCAACTACCTCCTTCACCCCCGTAAGTTAACTCCTCAATTCCACAACCTCCTTGACAACTACATCAATTTTTCCACCTGTCAACAAATTAAGTTCCCTCAACACCTCAACTTCATTCACCACTACATCTATCTTTCTTTCCACTTCCCCCTTATGCCTCTCAAGTGTCTCTTCGACTCTTGATTGTCTTTGATGATTATCAAAAAGGATTTTTTAATAATATCCACCAATTCAGACATCAAAATGTCGAATTTACTCTTTTTTCCCTCACCGTAATCCCCCTGACCATCATCCACCCCTCCAACCATCTCTTCTTTATTCTCCACTGCCTCCTCTGCTTCCTCTGCCTCCTCGGCAATAACCTTCAAAATTAAATTTGTATTAAGGCATTGATTATATTCTTAATATTATTTAATTACATTTATTACCATTTCTAGCTTCCTCGGTCTATCCAACTTCAACTTCGCCATCACTCTAATCACATCTTCCTTCCCCCATGCACGGATGCGTGCCACTCCGTTTCTTTCATAAGCCGACAAACTATCATAGCCCGACCAAAAATTGAACAGTGCAACCTGCATTTATAATAATAGTTATCATTTTATATAATAACTATACTATCATTTTATATAAAAAAAACAAAAACATTCTTCAACTCAGTTACCTCTAAGATTGCTATACACCCTTTTAGGTATCTCTGGTTGCCCTTTTGAAAGGTGATTATTGATTCAATCAATCTCGAATGGACATATTCAGCCTAATTGAATTCACCCTTCAAGCCTTCATCGCAAATGAGCTTCATATTGTCCTTGTTCGTTGACGTATCACCCATTGGAAAAAGAAATATCCCGACAAGGTACAATAGAACTCGGGCCTTCAGGTCATCCTCCCCGTAAGATCCACTTTTGATATCCTCTTCAACTTTAGCATATGTCACATTCTGATTCAAACCATATTTGGAGGCAAGTGCTTTCCAGTTCTTACTCCTACAGACTTCTACAACACTTTTGCATTTGTTTTGTACCCCCAAGACGGCTGCAACAGTCGATACCCCCATAAGGAATGAATAATCACCATATTTAGCAATACATTGTTTGACATCAAATTGCTCCATCAAAGATCGACACAATTCCCTCCGAATTGGTCGATCCCCTACTCCTATCAACGATCCAAACCCTATTTCCCTCAGCACATTCAACTAATCCTTCTCTTTAAGGTGTTCAATTAATGAATTCACCCTTTTTATACTGCACCTTGTCGACACTTCCTACATTTTTTAACAATATATAATGTTATTGTTCTTATATATCTTGTATCAACGTATTTACAAGTTTAATGAATACCTTCTTTTCATGTGCTTTCATCCGTTCTTTGTATTCTTTACTATCATTCATTGATTGTGTGATGTAAGGTTCCTTTTCAGCATCACTCATCGAATTCCATTTCAACCTCACATCTTTTTGTCACCTAATATTAAGCATAAATGTTTCTTAAATCAATACATTAACGCTAAACAATACTCAATGTCAATTTCATTTTACATACCGAACCGCTGTGTGTGTCATCTTCCTTCATCCTTTTTGCATTCGGCCATACTGTCAACATTTAAAATTTGTAATCAATTTAAAGTTCTTAATTACTTTAATTCAATTACCATTTCAACAATAATAACAAAAAGACATTGATACTTACTAGAAGTACATATATCTACCCTTTGGTTGCTTTCCACCCATTGACTTCATTTTTCCTTCATATATCAGTTTGCGCAAATCAAATCAAATACTGCTTACATATACTTTATTCAATATACAAAAATCAATAACCACTCTTTGTGGTAAAACGATTGGTCTTCAAAAGAATTTGAATGACCACTACAATAAGTGTCGGCACATTTATACAACATAAAATATCATTTTCTACCTATAATATTAAATAAAAGTATCGATATTTATCATCTACCTAGAATATCACTTTCTACATGTAATCGGTCTCAAATGTTTCTTTACTTAAAAAACCCCAAACAACAACACATAAAAACCCATTTCCGATTACTGTAATAATAAAAAAATTAGGATTTCAACAACGTACCTTTCGATTCGATTGCAACAACAAACAAACAAAACTTCGCCGTAGAAACGCCTTCTGAAATGCAACAACAATTACGCTTCGATTTCAAAACATCTATCTATTTTCAGAAGAAATTTAGCTATGCCTTTATATTTACACCGGATATGTTATTTATATTTAATCGATACAACTACCTAAGTGTCGATACTTTTATGTCAAGTGTCGATACTTTTCGATAGGATATTTACCTATTTCTTTGAAATTATCAATAATTTATTACGCATACTTATTAAAGTATCGACACTTTCAACATATCCGGTAGCGTTTTACCGGTTTTGTCATTTTGAGATCGGTTTTATCATATTTTTACATGTTATATTGTTATGGATCGATATATTTTTTAAAAGTATCGACACTTTATAGGCGTTATAACTTCTTCTCTTTTAAATTCCAAAAATGTCGATACTTATATTAAATTATCGACACTTTTAACATATCCGATATAGTTTTACCGGTTTTGTCATTTTTGAAACATGTTTTGTCATATTTTTACCTGTTATATTATTATAGATTAATACATTTTTTAAAAGTATCGACACTTTATAGGTGCTATAAATTCTTCTCTTTTAAATTCCAAAAGTGTCGATACTTATATTAAAGTATCGACACTTTCAACATATTCGGTAGCGCTTTACCGGTTTTGTCATTTTGAGACCAGTTTTGTCATATTTTTAGCTGTTATATTGTTATGGATCGATACATTTTCATAGAGTGTCGACACTTTTTAGGCACTATAACTTATTCTCTTTTAAATTACAAAAGTGTCGATACTTATATTAAGTTATCGACACTTTCAACATATCTGGTAGTTATTTACCTGTTTTGTCATTTTGAGACCGGTTTTATCAAATTTTTAGCTGTTATATTATTATGGATCGATACATTTTCATAAAGTGTCGACACTTTTTAGGCGCTATACCTTCTCTTTTAAATTCAGAAAGTGTCGATACTTATATTCAATTATCGACACTTTCAACATATACGGTAACATTTTACCGGTTTTGTTATTTCGAGACCCGTTTTGTCATATTTTTACCTGTAATATTGCTATGGAGCGATACATTTTTCATTTGTATCGACACAAATCGACAAACTAAGTTTACCGGTTGTCAAATTTTTTAATATTTCTTTATGATTTAGACCTACTATATTAATATTACTCAATATTTCCAGTAACGCTAAACTAAATTTATTAAATATATTATAATGTATCCGATAACACCGTATATTAGATGTATATTAGCCTGCGTTTCCTACAATCCCCATTCGCACGACCTTCGTTCTTCTTCCCGTTCTCCCATATCTTTCAATTTCTCTGTATTTTCCAAAATTCAAATCCCACTGATCTTATCCATCCCCAAAAGGAAAACCTTCCTAAATGAAATTTTGGCTGCAGGATAACCCAATTTGCCAACGCCACCCTTCATCTCCCATGGAATCTTCATCCTCTATCGAAATTTCGCCATTGCCGTCCCCAATGACACGGTCACGGGTCATCATCGCCGTCTCCTCTATCCTGAACAGAATCCTCGTGATATCCCCTAATTCAAGGTCACAAGCTACCTATTTTTGACTAAGAATCTAAAATAGTCGCCATTAATGAAGGCTAATCAACCATATCAATCGATGAACACCCAAAACGGCACCATTCGTTGGCTTCAGGACTTCATCAAAAAATAAAGATTGCGACTTTCACGACCAATAAGGTTTAACTCATAATCATAGAGCTGGAAAGGGGAGAATCGAATGACGCGATCTCCATATTTAACTATAAGAGAGAGAGGGTTTCACATGTCTGATTGAAATGGCAAGCCCAAAATGCTTAGATGCACTTTCTCTCGACACTGGTATGTTTAAATTTTGGAATGGCTCCTTGCTGGCATCGGCTAAGAACCCGAATCCACTTGTTTGTCTTACTGAAACCGTCAATCTCTGTGAAGATAAACATCGATGCAGGGTTTTCCCATGCAAATAAAAAGGCAAGATCAAGAGTAGTCATAGAAGACAGCACGAGTGAAATATTTGGGGCCTATTGGAGGATTACTTACCGGATCGAGTGGGCTTTTGAGACAGAAGCACTGGCCGCGATCCATGGCCTCCAGTTTGCCCTCGATATGGATCTTCCAAAGTCATTCTGGAAAGTGACTCCTTTTAAGACAAAAAAATCATGCTTAAATGTGAAACTCTTCACTGAACAATACAATGACACCATGGGGAGATCATTCAACCAAAAACAGAGTTTCATAGCTGCAAGATGTTAAGCCTGCGTTTAAAATTGGTGATAATCGGGGCAGGCAATGGCGATGATTCTGCTTCAGATATATTTTTTTTATAAGAAAGGAATGTCTGATTATAAAAACCCTTCATAACCGTCAAAATACAAGAGTATATTGATGGACATTGGTGGAAAACTCAGATATTCTCACGTCCGATAAAAGAACACTCAACCAAGTGGCACTCGTAACATAAATTGGTGGATAAACAGCGTATATGGTAAATATACAATTAATTTCAAAGGGTATCCATATTGCTAATTAAAATACACATTTCGCCGATAATTTGCTTAACTATAAAAAGGGTATCACGAGGAATCTTCGAAACTAGATCACCTGCAAAGCTCAAACTATACCTGACCCAATAAAGAATGCTTTTGGCTTGTATTTCACGGGTAGGTTGGATAATTCTTTCATCTTTGATCATGCAGGTAACTGAACAGAGATGACGATTGCTCGCTGGAAACAGAATCTAGCCCAAATTCAACCCGATACCACTGATACGTGGTGATATCATACCGCAACAGAGGTTAAAGAACTTCACTTCCCGAGATCCAAACATCCATCAGATATTCTACTGCCTGCACGTTCTTGCAATGCCTTAGCATTAAGTTCTCTCCCATGTCTCCAGACATAATTAAGGCCAACAAGAATCTCAATGATTGCTGCTTCCGTCTTTTCCCGATTTGCAAAGTAGAGTGTCTGCACCAGAAGCATATTAGTTCGGGAAACAAAGTTCTGCTGCTCAAAACTCCGTTCAGATTGCCATCTAATCATGTTATGAGCTAGTGGTGCCAACCACTCTAATATGGAAGACATTGCGTCAGTCCATTCTCCAGCAAGCTCCATATCATAAACCGATGACGCTAAGCTCTTTGCATATGGCTTTAGTCTCACCCTCAGAGCCGCTCTTGCACTTGCTGGTAACATGTTGTACAGATCCTCTCGTGCATCATGACCAATCAAATGAGGAGATGCTGCTAACTTCTCGATTACAATGATAACATTCGCATAGTGCAATGCTAAAGCAGAAGCACCGAGAGTTTCAGCAGGAGCATCCAACAACCGGCATTGAGATCTGAACACCGATGAACTACTCTGAGCAGCATTTCTTTCAGTAAGATTAAGATTTCCATCTTTGGTTCCATTCAGAATTCCCGAATGAATGCCATTTGAACTTACATAACAATTTCCAATGGCACCACTGTCAACAGCTACCATGCATCCTTTAAAAGGTCCCACTTGAGTCAATCTATTGTTTTTCAAATGCGATTTCCTTCTGATAGCAGCAGCCGAGTGGCTATTAGTCTGCCAAATCTGGCTTAATTTATTCATTCCAAAAAGTTGTCCAGACCTTCCTGCAGGCCTCCCAAGCGGACCTGAATGGAAGTTGAAATTTCCATTCTTTCCAGAAATAGAGCCTGATTTTGTGGTTGAGCCACCAAGAGGTCCCAAATGGAAATAATTTGTTTTATTTGGTGTTGGTATCGGTCCTGATTTAGTGCTATAAGTCCCTAAAGGGCCTGAAGAAAATCTAGGAAGGCCAGTGTTTTCCATTGGATGAACCAAAGAATGCATTACGGCAGAAACTGATTGGCTGCGATGCATAAAATCCGAACTCATCACCTTCGAATCCCCAACATCTACACTGTGTTCAACTCCGAAGACATGTTTGATCCTGCCGAATATTGTGAATATTGATCTTGCTAAAAGGCAAATCGTATAATCATAAGTCTTGTTCCAAAGAGAGTTCGCCCGTAGGTTCTTCACTTCGTGCTGCTTCCACATAACCTTCCTCTGAAATTCGAGCAAATTCTCCGGTGCTGAATCACTGCTTTTCATCCTCCTTAGTGTTTGCTCAAGATCCGCAAGCAGTTCCATCTCTTGATACAAAGTTGCATTCACTGAAATGAAGCGTTCCATCTTCTTAACCTTCTTGTCCATCTTCTTTGACGAAAATATCCAACCGTAAGGGTCGACACACATCTGGACCAACTCGGTGAAGACAAGTTCAAAACTCTTCAACCCCGGTTCACGACATTTCTTCGCAAGCCTAGATACAGACTTCGACACATGAGTAATATTTTCAACCATTTCCGCACATATCAGGCGTCCGATATATTCCTCGTCTTCGGACACAAGCTTTTTAATCCCCACAGAATTTGTTATTTCCTCTCTCAACCTAACAACCTGTTTATCACTCAAACACTGCCAGAGATGCACAAGCTTAGACATCAAGCTCGCAACTTCGAATGCTAATACTCCGATTTCGACTTTCTCGGAAATTCCCTCATGCCTCCGCGGAATTTTCCAAATACTACGAAACCAAGACTCTGCCACCATCTTTTAGTCCCAAAAGAATCTATCATAAAAACACAATTGAATATCAGAATTACCAAAAAAACACTAGAAATTCAACATTTTCATAGATTTTTTGTTCTTTAAATTCTCAAACCAACTAAAGCTCAAACAATCAGATTAGAAACTAATCAAACTAAATCATCAACGTGAAAATTGAAAAAAAAATCACATTAATTTTTAATGGTTTAATAGCTAGATAGAGCCCTAAAAAGCTACAAATTTCGATCTAAACAGCTGAATTGAACAATGTTATTACTCTCTACAGAGAAATTTCAAGAAATTTCATTTCGAATATAAAAGGTAATAAGCTCAAAAAGGGGTTTATAATGATTAATTAAACAACAAAAATTAAAATAAGATTCAAGATCAACCAAGCTAAACAAAGAAAGAAAATAAAAAAATTATACAATCCAAAGAAAAAAAATAGCAACACAAGACACCCATAGATTCCAACCATCAAAGCACAGTAACAAAGAATTCCAAAACCCAGAAAGAAAATCCAACAAAAATCCAAAACCTTCAAGTAAAAAATGTTGCAAAAAATAAACACTTACCGATCACATGAAGAGGAAAAGACAGCACTCGATTTCAGAAGCTGTCGAAAGGGGAAAAAATAAAGAAAAAAATGGGAAATTATGAAGAGATGAGATGCTGTTGCAAGGAAGTTGCAGTGAAGGGTAAAGAAGCCCAATGCCTTCACTTCAATTGGCTTTTCTGATTAATAAATGTAGTTGGAAACAAATATAAAAACAAAACCGAGTGAACATTAAAGCTCATAATTTTCCTTTTCTTGATAACCCTTTACTTTTTCATATTTATTCTAAAGGCCCCAATATTTACACGTTTTCTGACTTCTACTCCTCCAGATAGTGGAATTTTGGTTGCAATTCAAACTACTTTACAAACTTCCTAATTATGACTTCTCTTTTTGCATTTTTGTCTACTTAGTATTTTCACCTTTATTTTTCAAAAGTAATTATGAGGATAAATAAGTAGGAGTATTATTCATTCCGTCCTTAATTAATAATACAAATTACCTTAAAATTTTTGTAACAATTAAAGTTTTCACTATACTAATATTTGTGTAACTAGATGAAAAATATTAAATGTATAACCTTGTCTATTTCTGTTGTTTAAAATATTTTGTATTTAATCCATTATTTTTACCTAATTTAGGAATCGGTACCACTTTTTACTATCACCTTGATAAAAATATAATTAAAAGTTTTAGAATAAAAGATTCTGTATATATAATTGAAATCCAAATGTAAAAATTTTCAATTTTATACTGAATTGAAATCATTAAATGAATGAAAATAAACTATCATGATTAACTTCTTGAATTTTTTCAATAATTATTTTCTTATTTTGTATCGTTAATTTCAACAGTGTATTTGAATACTCAAAGAGAAAGATATCAAAGGATTGGATAGTCGTCCATCTGCTTGCTCGTCGCAACCGAGATCATTCTAATGCAGCAGATGCATACCCGTTTATGAGATTTTGGTGGCCCGGACAAATTTAAAAATGTGACCTCTAATAATAAATATTAAAAAAAAATTAAGAGTATACAAAAATTTATTTAAAGCTCCCTTTGTAATTGTACTAATTTTTTAGTTCATTTTTTTCACTATAGAAAGCATGTTTTCACTATCTTAGTCCTCGTTGTTGAATTTTACCTCGCTTTTAAATAAATTAACCGACGATGTAATTCACTCTCGCCTACATTTCATAGTTAACAAAAAATAAAAAAAAATATAATTGACAAGTATAAACAGTGTTTTTCCCGAAAAATCATCGATGACCGGTATATTTATCGATCTAACACTGGTCAGACTATATTTCTCGATCTAACACCCTTAGTAGTAAAGCGCGCCCCTGCACCATGCTATATGCTGATTTGGCGCCACGTGAGGTAAGGCGCGCCCCCTGAAGCGCGCCTTATGCTGACATGGATACACGTGTGTAAAGCGCGGCTCCTGGGGCGCGCCTTACGCCACGTAGGGGTATAGCGCGAGGCAGGGGCCGCGCCTTACCTTTAATTCTGATTTATATATAACGAGGGTGAGGGGCCGCGCCATACCTCTAACTGATATAATTATATAAGGCGCAGTGCAGGTACCGCGCCTTGTAACTTTTCCCGGCTATAAATACCCTTCTCCCCAATTAAGTTCCTCACATCTCCTAATATCTCTCCTCTCAACTTATATATTAATACAACAATTCCGTCAACGAGTCAATAATTCTGACAATTTTCTCTTATTTTATTAAGAAGTTCGTTCGATTTTTCGTTATAAGGTAATTTTGTGATAATTTTTTTATTATATTTATTGTTTATTATGATTATTTAAAAAAATATTATACTAATTGTTGTCAATTAATTTATGTGTTTGTAAAATTAGAAAGCGAGAATATACGTCGAAATAGGTTTGCGGTACATGTAATAATATAAAATTATATTATTTAAATTATTTACGTTTATGTGTAAAAAATTTATTCTGTTATATTTTCGTTCATATATTATTTATTTAATCAACATTGTTTCAGTTGTTTTTTTGCAGATATAATATTGTCGCACTTTTAAACTCAAAGAATAATGCGACTTTCAGCTATTGTTTATTATGATGGTGAAATTCGAGAAGATGAAACCGATATTGTTTTCCTATCAAATGAGCATGTTAAAATATCATTGAAGAGAAACAAAACTCTTGAGGAGCTGATAACGAAGATTTCGAGGAAGATTCATGTTGGAAATAGTAGAAGAATGTCGTCGTTACAATACAGATTTCCAACATCATTGTTGTCATTAACTTATACAGCGTTCGAACTTTTGAACAATGATGATGTTGAAATGATGGTTGAAGCTCAAAGTAATTATTCAGACGCCGATATTGAGATGTATGCAAATTTTATTCAAGTGCGTGCCGTTCGGGGTTAATCATTAAGCTCCTACTATGGGATGGCTGAACAAGTTGACATCCCGACGACAGTAATGTGTAATGATTTTAATGCCATAATGGGGAGACATTCATCCGCAACTCCTTACGATATGTACCGAGGTGGGTTGATGAGCAATCCGTATGGCAACATCGCGTCCAGTTCAAGGGGAAGGCATTCATTTGCAAATCCGTTTGACCTTAATATGGAGATATCATCGACGCAACCATCTGTGCAGTTTCTATTTGACACGATGGCTTCAAGCTCCAGAGAGAGGCATTCGACTTCCAGTTCAAAGGGAAGGTGTGCAAGTAATAGGTTCTTCGACCTAAATATGGATAGCATGGAGGAACCATCATCTCCACCAGAAGAACCGTTTCGTGAGCCTGGTGCGGATGGTGCTGAGACTGGACTATTCATTCACCCAGAATCACCGCAATTCAACTCCGATGATGATGATGATGTGGATGAAGTTCCAGCAAATGTGACACAAACTGACCCTCCAGCACACATGTATGAAACTGATTATGGTGCAATGTATGGGCCAGAATTTGCGGATATGCCTCATCTCGGTGACTATAGATATTACTCATCAATAAATAATGGTGAGTTATATTTAGGCATGGAGTTTTCAAGCAAAGAAGAAGCGATGATGGCTATAAAAAAATTACAATATCCGTAATTCAGTTCAATCGAGAGTCGGTTGCTCCACGACAGAAAAATATGTATGCTATTGTGCCCGACGTGAAAACGGATGTAATTGGATGGTTCACGTATCGAAAAGGAAGAGGAAAAACAACAGATGGGAACTAATATCTGTCAGTTGTCCAAGATGACAATCGCAACATTCTTTCAGTTGCTTTTGCTCTTGTAGAAGGAGAATATACAGATTCTTGGGCTTTTTTCTTCCGAAATTTACATGCACATGTTATCACGAGGGAAAACATCTGTGTCATTTCAGATCGCGGAGCTGGGATCAAAGCAGTAATGGAGTCTTTGGGTCCAATGTGACAACCACCCTTTGTCCAACATAGGTATTGTCTCAGACACATTGTTGACAACTACCATGGAAAGTACAAGAAGAATGATGAGCGTCAATTAATTGTGCGCATGGGTAAGTGAAACTGATGTAGTTTGTTTTCTTTCGATCGTTTTAATTTTGCAAAGAAAGCAAGTTAGTAAGTTATACATTTTTTGATCAGGTTACGAACTACTTCCTCGAACGTTTGAATCAATGCTTCAAGATTTGCGGGCAAATGAGAAAGGATACGATTACATCAGCCTCATCGATAAAGAAATATGGACGAACGCATATGATGGTGGATATCGATATGGACATATGACGACCAACTTGGCAGAGGCAATCAATTCGACCTTAAAGGGTGCACGTCACTTACCAGTAGCGACTTTGGTAAAGACTACATATTTTCGTTTGGGGGCACTTTTTGTGAAGCTCGGGGGACAAGCTCAAACCTGGATGCAAGGTGGTCATGTCTATCACCCTAGATTAGTTACAGATATACAGAAAAAAGTTTCTGCATCAAATGGAATGTTTGTAACAAGCTTCTCTAGAAGGAATGAAATGTTTCGTGTCACAGAGTTGCCGCGACCTCTTCAAGGGATTGAAGTTGTGTCGTTAAGAGTAAATCTAAGGGACAGAACGTGCGACTGCGGGTTTTTTCAAGCTCTGAAGTATCCATGCTCTCATGTGACATCAGCTTGCTCTCATTTGAGAGCAGCTTGCTCTCATGTGATAGCAGCTTGCTCGCATATACGTCAAGACTATAACCATTTTGTGGATCTCGTATACCTACTATCTGAAGTTTTTAAGGTATACGAATTTGAGTTTTCCCCCATAGGTAATGATAAAGACCCTGATGAGGTTCAAGATTGGCTTCCGATTGTACCAAATCCGAGTTTATTGAGAGAGCGTGGTCGTCCAAAATCCAATCGAATTCATTGCGATATGGACATTTGAGAAAGATCTAGACAAGACAGAAGATGTGGGCATTGTAGAAACCCAGGACACACTAGAAAAACATGTCCACTTCTGTTGCCATCAAGTAACAATTGATGAGGAAATGATATATTTGTTTATCAAATAATAATTCTTGTACTTCAATTTACATTTACTTCAAGTTAATGTCATTCGATAATCACTGATGAAGATTAAAAAAACGATACAATAATACGAGATTGAACGTTTGCATTATATGTGATTATAATAAAAGAGATAATAAGTGACAAACTTAAGAAAGTTATCAAACACAATCATTATATTTTATCAAACTGATAACAATTTGGTATTTCAAAATAATTTTAAATACAACAAACTTACAATAAGTATTAAATGGTAAATGATAACCAAATTACAATAACTGATATTAAATGATAATAATAAAAATTAACTGAAATACATTAAAAAAAGTCCAACAAATTTAACAAAATAAAGTAAGTATTGAATCAGAAATAATAAAAAATTACAATTAAAAAGTCCAATAAACTAAATACAAATATAATAAAAAATAAAATCTATCGATGCCTACGACGCGAATGTGTTCCGTAGGGCGGTGGCTGTCGGTCTTGAGGAGGATTTCTTCGTATCACTGGTTGTGACTCATCGCTGTCATCATTATCACCATCGTCGTCGTCGTTGTCGTCGTCGTCGTCCTGAGTAGGTACATGAGGAGCTGATGAAGATGAAACACCTCCATAGAATAAGGACCCTGGAGGTGTATGACTGACTATCCCACCGGCCTACGAAAACTGGAAAAACTCATAAAACCCAGACATCGCTGAGTGTGAAAACTGTACAGGAAGTGTCTGTGCTGCGGCCATGGGTGATGAAGTTGAACCCGCCAAATATCCAACATATAAACCCCAAGTCAGATCTGCAAACATAGACCCATAATAGCCTCCAAGAGGGGTCATCTGTGACGGTGGCGGCGGCGACATCAGGTAAGGGAATGGCGACGGTGGTATCTGGTAATGAAAAGGCGGTGGCGGCATCATATATGACTGCGGTGGCTGCTGTGAAGGTCCTGCTGGTGCAGTTGAGGATGAACCGAAAGCACCTGCTCTCCGTCCACGAGTCGGGGGATGATGGTGTTGTGTCGGTGAATGTCTCTGTCGATGTCGCGGAAAGGTCTTCCCTCGTGCATCCTCGGGAAGCAGAAACGGTTTCCCGTTACTATTGAACCACTCGTAATAACCCTCAGCAACCATCAAGAGGTTATCAAAAATGAGCTCTCTACGTGAAAGGCGCCGATGTCGATCATCCCACACACGACCCACGCATGATGCCTCACCAGCCAATCTGTATCTGTCTTGTCGCGTCTATCTGTGCTATGTAACTCGTCCATATTATGAGGTGCTTCCAGAATTTGTTGAAAAAAAACCAAATTGCCGGAGCACACGATCAGTGGAGTGACACTCGATAGTCGCATAACAGATCAAGGGGACCATCGCCATCCAAACATCTGATGAGCCCCTCAACTCAGGTGGGATCACCGCCCTCACATCATCAGTAGAATATGACACCCATTCAAACTAAAATAAATATATATAATTTTTATTAAAATAATAATCTAATTATATAACTATAATCTAAAATCGATTTTTAAACATTAAAATTCATACCTGTGTGTCAGTCTGCTGATCGATGAGCACCATAATTTTTTTCTAAATCATCAGGTAGCTCTTGATGATTTTTCCTATCAGTAGACCACCTATTTGAGGAAAAAAAATATTATACGTTGTATAAAATGATTAATATACGAAATTAGTTTTACAATTACCTCAATAGTAGTGAAAATACGAATGGGTTCTTGACAACGGGACATAAAAGGGCAATCGATACCATGCCCAAGACTGCAGCAGCAGGAGACATCCGCCAATAGCATTACGCCTGTAGTTAGTGGCTCGACACATCTCTCTATACAGGAAAGCCAAAACTGTCGAGCCCCAACTGAGTGATCTGACCAGATGAAAGTTGCCAAGGTGTCGCAACCACATGCAGTGAACTTGGTTGTGCTATTTGTCCGACATCAACAACCCTCCTATCAGTTGCAGTATGCATGCTCGTGCATACATTTTAACTTCATCCTCAGACGCGTCATCGCTCAAATGACGAAAATTGACATCTAACCAATTTAACGGTATCCGACCACCGTTAAAATTTTCTAGGACACGTCCTAGATTATCCCGACACAAAGTAGTCCAGAAACCATGCGTGATCCCCGATATCACATCTCCATCCACCGGAAGCCCCAGGTGCATAGAAACATCATCAAGTGTAATCGTGCACTCTCCACACGGAAGATGGAATGTATGGGTCTCCGGCCTCCACCGCTCTACTAAGGCAGAAATCAGGTCTGACTCTATCTTACAGTGACCCTGATATCTACCTATGTAACTGAATCCAGCCTCTACTAAATACGGCAAGATATGGCTAGGTATCACTAACTTAAGATTCCTAATAAAAGGATCTAATACACGGTCCTTCTCCTAAAATTAAATAATTACAAAAATTAATTCTTAATCTAATAATCATGCATTAAATAAATCAACAAATTATTACTAATAATTTAAATTAAATTAAAACGTTAAAATGTTACCGTATCAGCAAAGTGTCGAGATATATGATTTGCATCCAAGCGAAGTAGATCATCTGCCATTTTATATCTGCAAAAATAAATAAATAAGTAAAAATATTAAATAAATTAAATACTTAAATAAATTAAATACAAAATATTAAAAATATAATAAAATATACCTTAGAAGAGATTATAAGAGTATTTGAGAGAAGTTGAGAGAATTTGGTGTGATGAAAGTGATTGAGGATGGAGGTATTTATAGGGAGGTTTTGGGGTATTGAAGTCGGGGTAGTTGTGTAATTACACCTAAGGCGCGCCGCAGGGGGCGCGCCTTCCTGATGCGTGTCAGATTCACAGGGAAGGCGCAGCCCCTGTCCCGCACCTTAGGTGTAATTACACACCTACCCCGTGCTTTATCCACGTGTATCCATGTCAGCATAAGGCGCGCTTCAGGGGCGCCTTACCCCACGTGGCGCCAAATCAGCATATAGCTCAGTGCAGGGGGCGCGCTTTACTACTAAGGGTGTTAGATCGGGAAATATAATCTGACCGGTGTTAGATCGGTAAATATACCGGTCATCAGTGATTTTTCGAGAAAAACGCCAGTATAAACATAACAAAAAATTCATAATATACATAAATAAAATCAAAACACAATCATAAATTAATAAAATATATTTAATTTAGTTTGAGTGGATTTTAATTTTTGTATCTTAATTGACCACCACATTTCAATCCTAATATAAGAAAATACCAAAAAGAGAATTGCCATCTTTAAAAAATATATAATCTAAACAAAATAATTATTTTGGAGAACATACTACTCATTACATAAACAGAAGGAAAAACAACCGATGAACATAAACATGGTTTATTGGTTACATCAAAAGGAGCAAAGGAAAACTAAGGCAATAATCCATTAATAATGGCTCTCTTAAATAAAACAAAATTTTGAATTAATATTCATTTTTAAAATTTTACTGCTGTTATTCTTGATCTTAAATAAAAACAAATCAGGTGGGCGAGTGAAGGTTTGAAAACCAAACGGGAGATTCGCTAAATTAGTCATACCAGCCGGTACTGTATATTGTCATATTTATCATATTTTTTTTCATGTTAATCGTGTTGTTATTACGGGTACGAACTAGACTAACATAAAATTTTACGTTAAAACGGGATAAACTTGGGAATAGATTCATAAAATTTCAATAGACAAAAATATGTTATCAATTGAAAATTATATATATATATATATATATATATATATATATATGTGACCAACCCGTCTCCTTCTGTCCATCTTGGGTACAAAGATAAATCTTCTAAATAAAGATGACCTGTAAATAGGGTCATTGATACTAGGATAGTTCTGCGGTGCGACGGCTTAGTATACTGTTAAAATAAGATGCTACCGATTTTATTATTATTTTAAATAAAAAAATTAGTAAAAATGATCGAAAACATCATTATTTTGACCGGTTATAATTACCTATATAGGTAAATGCGGTAAAAAAAATCCTTTCTACCACGTTTACCTATATAAGTAATTATAACCAGTCAAAATAATGATGCTTTAAATCATTCTTTACCGATTTTATTATTTAAAATAATAATAAAATCGGTAGCGCCTTATTTTAGCCGTATACTAAGACGCCGCACGTGACCATTTCCCTTGATACTGGAAAAATTACAATAGTATATTTGTAATATTAAAAGATGGCATAATTGGAGAATCGAACTATTATTGCCATATCCAACGTTAAAACCACATAAAAGTCTTAAAGAAAGACGAGGCTGCAACTAAGCTAATAATAATCTATGAAACCACTAAACCATACCTCTCTTAAAAATTACGATAGTCGAACCCATCAAGTAGTTTCAGTCGTTAATGGAAGTGTTATTCTCCCATTGAATCTTGGGTTCGAACAATTGTGTTTGCTAGCTGTATGAACGTTGTGTATGGTTAAGAAAAATTCTTAATAGATACTGCCCTCGTAATCATCTCAAACTAAGAAAAAAAACTACGATACTCAGACTAACCACTTCAGGCACATAAAATTATAGTCTAACAGTGCATCAAATATTAACCCTTTATACACGCTACGTCTATTCACTCACCGACCACTCCTCTCTTTTTTGGCTTCAAGAGCATCCACGTCTTCATTCGATAAAACATCAAGAACGGGTTTATAATTGTCCCACTCCTTTCTTTTCATGAAACGGCAGAAACAAATGGCTAACCATAAGCATCTTTCTTTACAAGTTTTCTGAAGTGACAGAGCAAGCAACTAAGAGATCAAACAACAAGTGTAATTATAACATAAAGAGCATTTATCAAACGAATATAGAAACTAGAAATGCAACAGAAGGTTACATCGATGCTTTCAAATTGATAAAAGGTTTCAATGGTTAGGTTGAGATTTCAATCAATCTGCCAAGAACACAACTCAATTACTTTACATTCCTAGGAGATATGGTATAATGGAAGGCATAATTTGAATGTTTCAACAAGGTGGACTTTATCTTTTAGGTCTTTTAATGGAACCATTAATGATAGTGCCATCCATAAGCACGAGTGGAAGACGAGAGTTCGACAAAAGGTGATGTTAATGTTACACTTCAATTTAAAAAGTTCATTACCTTATTTTGAAGAAACTCAATTCAAAAGTGTTTATTCACGGTATTAGATGCTCAAAATACAGAGTATGATTTCACTCAAGACATGGAGGTGTCATGCAACATAAACTACCATGCCAGCAGAATCTAGGGTTTGGGTTTGGCAGCCTAAATATATGAATTCTTTAATCTGGATTCAAGTTCAATATTTTAACTAATCTAAAATATGTGATGTTTTCTAAATTCTAATATGGGAACACGTAAGAGAGTCATGTTTGTGCTGACTTTTAAAAGTACATAGCACAAGAAGTATTTTGAAATCCTATTGGACCTTTTAAATTTGACCTAAATCCAAATAAAACCATTTACAAACAATGAATTTGGATCTAGACATCCAAACCTCACCCCTTGAATACGGTTTCCAAATGGACCATAACAATTTTTCAAGGCTCAATAGAGAATTTTTTTTCTGCATGAGAATTGATCTAGAGGGCATACCGAATAACACTTGATCTGAAACTGAATAACTTCATCAGGTCCAATGCAGCACCACTAGCTTTACTGTGAGAGAATGAAAACAGAGTGTAATTTCATCAACATGCACACAACATTGAGGCTTGATGACTATATTGAAAGGAAACAACACAAAAACCTGATAGGGAAATGTTCAGCTGCCCGGCGACCCTTTTTGTTTATTCTGTTCTCTCTTGCTGAAGCTACATTTTGAATCGCAATCTAAAATACAAACCATTACAACGATTTAAGAACAGCCAGATCATACAATACGTAACATCAATGACTAGGATAAGTTAGAAACCTTGATACCTACCTCGTAAAGTTGCTCCCTGATTGCTAAGGCGATTGCATGCTGCAAAGAATAAAGATATTGTATACATAAGAAATGTTTTGAAGGCAGAAAAATAGAATGAAACAGGGTAGATGAATATTTGATAAGCCCAGAAGATCATGTCGGACCCCGAGACCCAACTCACACTATATAGACTGATGTCCATGTCGGAAGCCAAGCCATTTATTCTACTTTAGCCTCATTTCTTTTTATTGCATTGACTGGTTTAATATTTGCTGGTTTACTTTTGTTTTAGGGCAGTTACTAGCACGACTGTAATTCATGGGTAGTGGGTGGATGAGTCTCCTACAGACTCGGACACCATTAGCTTCATTTCAGTTGTTTCTTTGATGTATACATTTGGAAAGAAGACATTGGAAAAAAGGGAGATGAGAAGTTAATGGATTTGTGGTTCATTCTCACTCAAAGAGAATTCTTTCTTATGGTTGTTGTGCTTGTACTGGTTGGGACCTATCATTGGTATCAGAGCCAGGTTCATGACAACAAACAAAGAACTGATCGAGCGTCTAGAGGAGGGGCTTGGAGGAGTTCAACCAGGAATGCAGCGCATGGAGGTGAGAATCACCGACAAGAACCAACGATTAGAAGACACTATTGCAAAACTATCGGGAGCATTCTCCGCAAGCAGCGGATCACCTAGCCATAATAATTATCAGAATGAAGGAGCCCACCGAACCAACCGAGATACCGGCGATAACATCCGGCCATTTTCTTCCAAGATTGCAAAGTTGGAATTCCCAAGATTTTCTGGAGATGACCCGACAGAATGGCTCAATCGTGTGGACCAGTTCTTCGAGTTTCAAGAGATAGACGCTGATCAAAAGGTGCATCTAGCTTCGTTCCACCTTGAAGGCGAGGCGAATCAATGGTGATAGTGGTTTCGAAAAGCATTCACTGACGGACAGGGGAACATCTCGTGGGAAGCCTTCGAAGATGAAGTGAGGGCTCGATTTGGACCCCCTGATTCTGAAGACTTCGACGAAGCACTATCCCGAGTGAGACAAACGGGAACATTGCAAGACTATCAACGGGAATTTGAACGGCTTGGGAATCGAGTTCGTGGATGGACCCAAAAGGCTCTAGTGGGTAAGTTCATGGGGGGCTTAAAACCAGAGGTGGCTGATGGAATAAGAATGTTCAAGCCTCAATCTGTGAAGGAGGCAATTAGCTTGGCGAAAATAAAGGACGATCAGCTTACGAGACAGAGTTGATTCGCACGGCTAGGTGCCTTACGAGCTTCTTTTCCTGTAAATAACACCAGTCCTCCCAAGGGTTCCACACAAGTGGCAATCAAAAGGCTGTCATGGGATAAGATGCAGAAACGTAGAGCTCAAGGATTATGTTCTAACTGCAATGATAGGTTCACCCCTAGACACAAGTGTCAAGCACCATAGTTGATGCTCCTTGAGGGTTGTATACAGGAAGATGAAACACTAGAAGAAATGGTAGGGGTAAACATGATAAGGGAAATGTCTGAGATTGAGGAAGATGACAACGGAAATGAGCCCGAGATCACCCTACATGCACTAACTGGATGGACTGTACCGAGAACAATACGAATTAAGGCAATTATTGGAGCACATGAGGTGGTTGCTTTAATCGATAGTGGATCCACTCATAATTTCATCAGTGATCGAGTAGCCGAAATGCTTCGTTTGCCCGTGAAGCCCACAACATCGTTTACTGTCCGAGTTTCCAATGGGGAAAGATTTGTAAAGGGAAATATGAGAAGCTCATGGTTCATTTACAAGGTAATGAGTTCCACCTTGACTTCTTTTCTCTGCCCTTAAATGGTTTGGATATGGTGCTAGGAATTTAGTGGTTAGAGACATTGGGTTCAGTAATTTGTGATTGGAAAAAACGAACCATGGACTTCATTTGGGAGCAACAGCCTAAGAAACTCCAGGGGATTGAAATTCCACCAATCCAAGACACCACATTGCAAGGCTTCACCAAGGACTTTCGACAACGACAAGCGGTGTTTGCTTTATATTTTCAGCTCGAAGGACAGCAAAACAATGAGGAACTCTCATCAGATATGCAGGCATTGCTGGAGTAATATTCAGATGTCTTTACTGCGCCTACCAGCTTACCACCAGCACGTGAAATTGATCATAAAATACTACTCCAAGATGGAACTAAAGCTATTAATGTGTGGCCATATAGGTATGCATATTTCCAAAAATCTGAGATTGAAAATCAGGTTCAAGACATGCTCAGTGCAGGGTTGATTCAACCAAGCACCAGCCCCTTTTCCTCTCCAGTACTGCTAGTGAAGAAAAAAGATGGCACATGGCGATTCTGCACAGACTATCGAGCATTAAACGCTGCCACCGTAAAAGATCGTTTCCAATTCCAACAGTATATAATATGCTTGATGAGTTACACGGAGCTGCTTTTTTTTTACTAAGTTGGATCTCAAGGCAGGATACCACCAAATACGAGTTAGCACCCCTGATATTCCTAAGACTGCTTTCCGCACTCACAATGGCCACTATGAGTACTTGGTTATGCCATTTGGGCTATGCAATGCACCATCTACCTTCCAAGCAATAATGAACTCGATTTTTCGACCGTATTTGCGGAAGTTTATCTTGGTGTTTTTTGATGACATTTTAATTTACAGTCCGACATGGGAGCAGCACTTGGAGCATGTCAAACTTGCATTCTCCATCATTCGGCAACATCATTTCTATGTCAAGATGAGTAAATGTGCATTCGGCAAACAAGAGCTAGAGACCATATTTACTTGGCCGCAAATTATACATCATAATCGATCAATGCAGCCTCAAATTTTTCTTAGATCAGCGTGTTTCAACTCCAGAACATCAAAAATGGGTGGCCAGATTATTGGGGTACGATTATGAAATCATCTTCCGACCGGGTCGTGACAACTCTACAGTAGATGCTTTATCTAGGCGGCAAGAAAGCCCATTATTGCCTGCTCTTCATTTTTCAGATGTGGATATTTGGAAACATATCCACGAGGCCTCTAAATCAGATTCTTATGTGTAGTTTTTGGGTAAAAAGGCTGGTGACCCTCCTCGTGACAACTTGACTTGGCGTGATGGATTTTTGCTTTACAAAGGAAAGGTTCTGGTGCCTGCTGATCACTCCTTACGGGATAAACTGTTGTATGAAGTTTATGATTCTAAAGTTGGAGGGCACTCAGGGATCCTTCGAACTTATAGAAGATTGCAACAATAATTTTATTGGCCAAAGATGCATAAATCTGTTCAGGAGTATGTCAACGCATTAAGCCAGAGACCAAGGCACCAACGGGATTATTACAGCCATTACCAATTCCTGCACAGGTTTGGGAGGACATCACTCTCGACTTCATTGAAGGGTTGCCCAATTCTCATGGCAAAGACACAATTCTGGTGGTCGTCGATAGGCTCAGTAAGTTTGCCCACTTTATTCCCTTAACTCACCCATTTACGGCCAAAGTTGTTGCAGAAAAATTTATTGAGAGAGTTGTCAAACTACATGGGATGACACGCTCCATCATCAGTGATCACGACCCAATCTTCATCAGCAAATTCTGGCAAGAATTCTTCAAACTATCCGGCTCCAAACTCATGCTCAGTTCAGCTTACCATCCCCAAACAGATGGCCAAACTGAAGTTGTTAATCATTGTGTTGAACAATATTTGCGTTGCTTCGTTCACCAATGGTCGCGCGAATGGAGTAATTATATCACTTGGGCAGAGTATTGGTACAATACCACCTACCACGCCTCAATAAAAATGACACCGTACCAAGCTCTTTATGGCCGCCTTCCACCACTTCTCCCCGCCTATCCAGAGGGTCTTTCCCCAGTTCATGAAGTGGATCAAATGCTCCTGCATCATGACGAGCTGCTCCACCAACTCAAGACAAATTTAGAGATTTCCATGAACCGAATGAGGCAACAAGCTGACTCCAACCGAAGAGATATCCAATTCAAAGTTGGTGATCGAGTCCTATTAAAGCTCCATCCATATCGCTAGCAAACAGTCTTCAAACGGGCTCGTTAAAAATTATCCAGCCGCTACTATGGACCCTATCCTATTTTGGAGAAAATTGGAGCAGTAGCATACCGCCTACAATTGCCACCTACAGCTCGAATTCACCCCGTGTTTCTTGTCTCTTTGTTTAAACCATACAATGACACTCCAGCTGTCACTCCACTTGACTTACCTCCACTTGTAGATGATAGCGTCATAACCCTTGAACCTTAACAAATACTTGATACATGATGGATTAAGCGTGGTGACACCTTCATGGAAGAAAGCTTGGAGCATTGGAAGCATCTACCCCACGAAGAAGCCACCTGGGAGTCCACGGATACTATTTGCCACCAGTTTCCTCATTTGATGCTTGAGGACAAGCATCCTCTTCATGGGGTGGGCAATGATAAGCCCAGAAGATCTTGTCAGACCCCGAGACCCAAATCACGCTATATAGACTGATGTCCATGTCGGAAGCCAAGCCATTTATTCTACTTCAGCCTCATTTCTTTTTATTGCATTGACTGGTTTAATATTTGCTGGTTTACTTTTGTTTTAGGGCAGTTACTAGCACGACTGCAATTCATGGGTAGTGGGTGGATGAGTCTCCTACAGACTCGGACACCATTAGCTTCATTTCAGTTGTTTCTTTGATGTATAAATTTGGAAAGAAGACATCGGAAAAAAAGGAGATGAGAAGTTAATGAATTTGTGGTTTATTCTCACCCAAAGAGAATACTTTCTTGTGGTTTCTGTGCTTGAACTGGTTGGGACCTATCAATATTTTATGAGTTTCCTTCTAAAATGAATTGTTTACCCTAACTGCAGGGTCTTCAATGCCTAAATCTTTGTAGAGAGTTCTAGCAAATTCTTCAGGCCATCAAAGTTGTTAAAGTCCTACAACAAATTAAGATAATAGATTCAAACACCTCATTGAGAAATAATTACAAAGTTCATAAAAGATAAATGATGAGCAAGCATGCGAAAACTCAAAAACATGTATATGATAATGATATGATATAAAATCATTTTTTAATTCTCACATGTCGGAACCGCTTTTCGGGTGGGCCCAGAATTGGGTTTCGACTTAAATAAATGGGTTAG